GCTAATGGCTTGGTTTGGATTGTCCATTATAGTGTTTATGTTTTACTGTTTTCCTTTGTAATGCAATGGGATAATGACTTTACATCATATTATTATATATGGTGTTGTTGACCTACCTCCGGCCATCGCCGCATACATGTTAACGAGTAATATTAATTAGAATCTAAGAGTCAATTTCCATGACTATGTCCGGCCAAAGGCCTGGTAATAAGCTAGTTAAACAAGAACTAACAAACGCAAAAACCCAAGCCCAAATTTTTTTTCCCTTCCTAATTCTCAAGTACAGCTTTGTGGCTGTATAACCAATTAAATTTTTTCACTTCATTTTTCTGACTTTGTAGAAATCTCACGTTACAATTATAGAAGGTAAAAAATATCTTTTTACTAACGTGATCAGAAAGAATCAAAGAAACAATTCTGTTTTTTTTTTTTTGGTTTCTTCCCCAATCTGGCTTTTTTATGCTCTTTTTTTCCTTGGCTTTTCTTGAAAATACCTCTTACAAAAATAAAAAAGAACACGAAATAAAAATAAAGGATATACGCATAAGACATGAGGAAGTACACGTTGGATACGTATGCCATTGTGTTTGAAACAGTCTCTTATACCACTTGATATGAATCGAGACTCAAACTCTTGGACTCACGAGTTATCAAAGTACGTACCAATTGAGCTTCAAGATAACTCTCACGATCTTCAGCAGACAATAAAGATGATGATGGAAATTAGTCAAACAATTTCAAATTGCGAGAAGGGCCAATTGATATAGGGTAGAAACTCGCTACAACTAGATGGAACATCTAATTGATAAGAGACGCAATCAAAAGAAGGACCTGGGCCTTACGCCTAACGCCTTTTTGAACCTTGAGTATAGGGCAAGCATTTTTGAATATCAACCAGGGCCAGTCCATGTACTCCTACTTCTACAGTTTAAAATGTTATCTAGCAATAATTTTTCAGTGAAAACTAAGGCCTACAATTTAAAGCAAGCAAGAAGTTAAATTGTTGTAGAATCTATATGAGAAAACTTCACCCAGGTATTGCTCCCCCTAAATTTGTTTCAAGTTGCAATAAACAGAACTCTAATGTGAAACAGTGTGTTCTTATACCCAAGGTTCAGAAAGGCACTATGCGTAAGGCGAGCGCTCGGCTCTTGACTTGCGCCTAACCTGACTAAGCATAGCCTAGGCGCGGCTAAGAGTTCATAACGAAATGGAATTTTTTTTCAAATGTTTCATATTTTCTATGAATACTTCATATGATCACAAGTTCATATACACCCAGTTTTTAACGCTTAACACTTAACATAACAAATAACAAACAAGCAATGACCATTTTCTAGAATCACAAGTTCTCTGGGCGAACAACTAGCATTGACTTCCATGTGAAAACATTGGTATTCTCTTCATCAGTCAATCCTAACGTCAAACCACTAGCATCATCCATTGTAAAGATAAAAGTGTATAATCACAACCTGTCCTAAACCATAAAGAGACCATTCAATACATGTATATGTTGCATACACAACCACCTCTTGGCGATTAAACAAAAAGGCAATCATATTATTAATATTAAAATCAAAATTAACAAAGCAGTTAAAAGGAACATAAAAGAAAGAAACAATAACCAACAATCAATAGCTAGTAGCTAAAGTCTATGTTAAAATTTAGATTGATCATAAAACTTTGAATTGAGACATAGATTAGTATAGATACGCCAAACAAATTAGCAAACCAACTTAAGCTGCGTCCATGCCTATGTTTTCTGAATTGCATCCCTTGTTCCAATTAATTATACCAATTTGCAAACCAAACCTTAATTGCCCCCCTACTTCTGTTTTCTTATTTGTGTCCCCTGTTCCTAATCCCCCATTCGAGCAGCCACAAAACTGAAAGATGAGAGGGACTTAGCACTTAGCAGCAGCCAGCAGATCACGACTCACGACGAAAAGAAGTAGAGAGGAAGAAAACGGAAGTGTATTGGATTGGTCTCTTGGCTCGCTTCAGAACGCCTTGGACCGCCTTCTCTCCTACTAGGCGCAAATTAGGCGCAATTACAACCTGTTAAGCGTTACGAGCGCTTTTTACAGCGTATATACCCAATTCATGGCGTTCCATCAACGCCTTACGCCTAATCGAGCCTAAGCGTGCTTCTAGAAGCGCCTTCTTGAACGCTGCCTATACTACACCGTAATAGAGTTTATACCTAGGCTCTAGTCGGGATTTTATTTGTGTAGTTAGGAACGAGTAACTCTAACTCGAGACAACATTCATAAACCAAACCATGTTTACTTTGCAGCTATATCTACCTCACAAGTGGATGTTCCTTTGCTCCCAAATACGGTTAAAGAAGCCATGTGCTCTCCTGAATGGCGTGTGGCCATGGACACTGAATTTTGAGCTCTCTGCTCCAACAATACATGAGATCTTGTGCCTCATCAACCCTCCTTCAATATTGTGGGAAACAGCTGGATATTTTTCATCGAACGTCGTCCAGATGGATCTATTAAGTGCTTCAAGGCATGTCTTGTTTCCAAGGTCTTTCATTAGCATCTTGGTGTTGATTTTGGAGAGACATTCAGTTTGGTGCTCAAAACTATTACTATTCACACCGTGTTCACCTTAGCACTCTCTAAAAAGTAGACCATCTTGCAGTTTGATGTGAAGAATGCCTTCTTGCAAGGGTCGTTGTAAGAGGTGGTTTACATGTCTCAACCAACTTGATTTCATGCTCATAGGCATTGTCAGCATATTTTTTGCCTCCTGCAGGCCATCTACGACCTTAAGCAAACTATGTGTGCTTGGTATGAGGCCTTAAGATCCTTTCTTGAGCAGTGTGGCTTCCTCAAAGCATGCTATGATGCTTCACCCTTAGTTTACAGTAGTGGTTCAGTCCTTGCCTTCTTTCTCATGTATGTTGATGACTTGCTACTCACTAGAAATACTCCTACATTTTTGCACCAGTTTCAAGCATAGTTATCCACCCGCTTTACTCACTAGTCTTGGTGATGCTACATATTTCTTGGTATTGAGATTATTCGCACTTCCACGACTATCTGTTATCTCAGCATAAGTAATCCTTGATCTTCTAAATCAGTTTCAAATGCATGAAGCTAAACCAGCAGCCATGCCTCTCACATCTATGACGTGCCTCACTCTTGTAGATGGTTCGGCTTTGGCCGACGAGACTCTTTATTGTCGAGCTATGGGGGCACTTTAGTACTTGCTTAATTACCACTCATCCTGATGTGGCATTTGTAGTCAACAAACTTTCACAGTTTATGCATGCCCCAACCGCACTTCATTTGCAAGCACATCAAGCGCCTCTTAGGCTATGTCATTAGTGGCACAAGTACTTTTGGTATTCACATCTGTCGCCTGGCCTCTCCACTCACACTATGCATCTTTTTCGACTCGAACTGGGATGGGGATCTCGATGATCGTACCTCCACTTCTTGTTTCCTCGTCTATCGTGGTGGCACTCTCATTCTTGGAAATCTAAGACACTGTCACTTTCTCAAGCACAGGGCCTGCGTATTGTGCCATTGCTACAATGCCAGAGATCCAGTGGGTTCGTAATCTTCTGACTGAACTTCGTCAATCACTCTCCAATGTCCCTATTCTCTATTGAGATAACATGGTTGTTGTCTCATTCAGTTCTGATAAGGTCTTCCACTCTTGTATAAAGCATCTTGTCCTAGACTATCACTTCGTGCGTTAGCTAGTCCACTCTAAGAAAGTTCAGGTTCGCTATGACGTTCCTACTACTTCATAGATTGCTGATGCGCTCAAATGGCCTCCATGTGACTAGCTTTCGTTTGCTCTGCTCCAAGACAGGTCTTGTTGATGCCACCTCTATCTTGCAGAGTGTATTAGAGACAAGTCTTTGTCCGCTTCATAATTGTATTTATTAGTGTTGTATCTAGTCTTCCGATCATACTTGTACACTGTAATTGTTTGGGTATAAATATACGCTTGTTCGTATCAATGAAATCACGGTTGATAATCTTACAACAATATCCCTTATGCAGAGTGATTATTTGCAACAATATCCTTGAATCTGAATTGTGATTGATGGAGGCAATGCTCCAAGTGGTAGACCCAAGTAACTTGCAACAAGGTTTCCCAGTTTGCAACTATTTGTTCATTGCGCTACTACTTAATTTGTGCTACAGTTCTCCTAATATGCTGTTGAAAGATAATTGTGCTACTAGTTATCAATTACTTATATTGGAGATTTAATAGGTTAGTTATAGGACAACATAAATTGTACATTACAATCATAGGAACCTCCGGAAATGCTCTCTAGTAATCCTCCGGGACTGAATACCTCGCCGCTGGCATCCGCTCACCCTGGTCGGCCGCCGGATAATACCCAAGCAGCGAGCTTGCCTGTTTCAACTGTCTCTCTCATGGCCTCCACAACGACGACTGCCCCGTCGGAGATGGTGGTAGACGAACCCGCAGCAGTTACTGAAACTCCTCGCCAGCCTGAGATCCCTGCGACGGATACGATGGCGGCTGCCGCCATGGTTAGATCGTTGTCGATTGCTCCGCCAGCAGCAGAGGCCGGCTCCTTTAGCTATGCTAGCGCTGTTGTCGGCTTCAAGAGTCAGGCCTTACCAACTTCGGTGAGTAATCAATGGACACCGGTGGGGGAACATGATCTAATACCCGGAGATTTCAATGGCAAACCAGCGCTGAAAATCTCACCAGGCTTCAAGAGTCGAATATGCGCTCCATGGCAGAGAACTCTAGTTGTTCGGCTGCTCGGTGTTAAAGTGGGGTTCACTACTCTGTGTGCTCGACTCCGTGCACAATGGCGTCCGATCGGACACATGGAAATTAGAGATTTGGACCATGATTGTTATCTCGTTAAGCTCGAGAATGAGCAGGATTACTTCAAGGCTCTCACTGATGGACCATGGACAGTTTTCGATCACTATATGGTTGTTCAGCAATGGACACCAAAATTTAGAGTCTCTGATCATCTTCCGAAGAAGATGATAGTCTGGATTCAATTACCGGGACTCCCAATTCATTTCTACCACAAGGAAGTCCTGATCTCTATCGGTAATTTGATCGGGCGCACAATCAAATTGGATTATCACACCCTGAATCAGCAAAGGGCCAAATTCGCGCGTCTCGCCGTGGAGATTGATCTTGAGAAAGCTCTGGTGCCGAGAGTCTACCTTGATGATGAATGGCAAAAAATAGAGTACGAGAACCTCCCAGAGGTGTGCTTCGATTGCGGTAAGATAGGCCATACTTCAAGCTGCTGCCCCAACCTCCGTTCGACCTCTCTGGTCGAGGCTCAAGCAGTGACCGGAAACAGAGGATCGGAGGAGGTGGCTCCGACAACTTCAGAGACGGACGCCGGTTTCGGGCCTTGGATGATTGTTACCAAAAAGAGCCGCCGTAATTATCGGGATAACAATCGGAATTGGAAGGAGGAGAATGACGTTGGAAAATCTTCTCAAGGCAATGGAGGAAAGTTGGGCAAGAACGGATCAAAAGGAAAGAAAAGTGTGGGACGCTCACCTTCTCCTCAAATCTTGGTAGGCCAACAGACATCTACTCCTGATGCTAAACTTGTGGCAGCAGAGAAGAGGAAGGAGGAAATAAAGAAAGGTAAGGAAAAGCTAGGCTCACCCCCATCTTCTTCGGGCAAAGGCCTTTTGGGCCCAGGTCCTGCTCCAACCTTGGCAACCGGGCTCAAGCCCAATAATGGGCTATTGAAAGCCTCTTCCTCCTCTGCTCCTTTCGAGTTGCCCAGAGAAAGGCAACCTGAGCCTCCAAAGACTGAGCGTTCAGCCCACATAGCCATCCCTCAAGCTCTTTCCTCTCTTCATGTGCAAACTACAATTGGGCCCAATGGTACGAACATTCAGCTCGTCACCATCCAGCAACCCTCCTTCAAGCCAAAATCACAAATAGCCACCTCCCCGACGCCGACAACCCAGGGAAAACAAAAAGGCAGTAAGAGTTCCCAATCCCGCTCCCGCAAATTATCTCCGATCAAGAACAATCATCTTAAGCCGCTTCAAATTTGGTCCCCAATGAAAGAGAAGAAAAGCAAAGCTAAATCTTGATTAGCAACTCTTACCCTTCAAGACATTCACGCCTGGACTAAGGGGGGAAAGGAAGTTCCGACCGCCGAAAGCATGGAGGAACAGACATCAGCCGATGATTGCGCAAAGTCTCAATCTCTAGAGGCCAAGTCAGCAACCATCCTCGTCTAAAACTAGTGAACCCGTTCCTCTTCTTTTCGCTTCCTTTCTTATCGATTTTGTTATGTCGTCTACAAATTATGTTAAAATTTTCTCTTGGAACGTTGGTGGAGCCGGGAGCAGAGCCTTTGCGCGCTCTTTGAAGCTGGCTATTGATACTCACCGTCCTGATTTTGTTATTCTCCTTGAACCCCAGATCACTGGCAACACAGCAGACACTGTTTGTGACCGATTGGGCTTTCCTAATGTGATTAGAGTTGATGCCGATGGAAGAAGGGGCGGAATCTGGATTTTCTGGGATGAACGGAAATTCTCGGCGCTCCTCACTTCAGCCTGCTCTCAACACATATCTCTCCGTATCTCCCAGGGTAATGCGACTCCTTGGATGCTCACGGCAGTGTACGCCTCACCCCAACCGAGCAGGCAACATAGCCTATGGGGTAACCTGATTGAGCAGAGCAGGACAGTTCACATCCCCTGGGTTCTAACTGGAGATTGGAATGCAATCAGGGCTCCGGAAGAGAAGAGCAGTTCTCCCTCCTCATCCACTCTAAGGAAGTGTCGCCTCTTCAATGATCGCATCAACCAGGCTGAACTAATCGATCTTGGCTACTCAGGGCCGTGTTTTACTTGGTACAGAGGAGGGCAGCATAGCACTCACAAAGCTAGCAGGCTCGATCGTAGCTTCTGCAACCCAGCATGGAATGCTACCTTCCCCAACACTTCGGTTCTGCATCTTCCACGGCTTCACTCTGATCATAACCCAATCCTTACCACAATTGCTTCACAGGGGCAACTTTCGCCCGACTCTCGCCCCTTTAAATTTGAAGCTGCCTGGTTCACCCATTCTGACTTCTTGAATTTCGTTGCAGGCACTTGGGATGACAACTCCTCTTTCCCTGAAGCTCTGAGCAACCTTGCAACTAAGCTCAAGGAGTGGAACTCCAACGTTTTTGGAAATATTCAGCAAAAGAAACGCAGGCTTCTTGCTCGAATTCGAGGAGTGGAGCTTAGACTTGCGGACTCCTTCACCCCAGGGCTAGGCAAACTCCACTCCAAGCTAGAAGATGAGTTGGACAAAGTCTTGGAACAAGAAGAGCTCATGTGGTTTCAAAGAGCGAGAGAGCAGTGGGTCAAGTTCGGAGAGCGGAACACGTCGTACTTTCACCAACAAGTCAATATTAGGAGACGCCGCAATAAGATCGAGACTCTGAGAGATGCTAATGGGTTGTGGGTAGACGATCCTCAGGCCCTTGGCCTCCTAGTCTTTGATTATTTTGCTAATCTTTACTTGCAGGATAGTTCAGTCTATGAAGACCGACTACCTAAACAGGCGTTCCCTAGACTTGATTCAACTGAGATGATGACCCTAATGCGTCCCTTCACAATCATGGACATCCACCAAGCAATTTTTGATATGAAGCCCTTCCAGGCTCCTGGGCCAGACGGGTTTCAGGCGGCTTTCTACCAGCATTCTTGGAGCACGACTGGAAGGTCTCTTGCACAGATGGCTATCCAGTTTTTCTCAACAGGGCTGCTTCCAGATGCGGTGACCGAGTCAACAGTGGTGCTCATCCCAAAGGTTGACAACCCTGAGATGGTCACTCAGCTAAGACCAATCTCTCTGAATAATGTCAGCCTAAAAGCCATAACCAAGGCCATGACGAGTCGTCTGAAACCGATCATGAGGAAGTTAGTCTCTCCCAGACAAAGTAGCTTCATCCCGGGCAGGCAAACAACGGATAATGTCATCATTGTGCAAGAAGTCCTCCATACCCTCAGAAAGAGAAAAGGAAGGAAAGGCGGGATGGTTTTTAAGATTGATCTCGAGAAAGCGTATGATATGCTTCGTTGGGAGTTCTTGAGAGACACTTTGAAAGAAATTGGCCTCCCAAGCTCCTGGATAAGTTGTATTATGTACTGCGTGGAGCAAAACAGAATGAGAATCCTGTGAAATGGGAAGCTTTCTCAATCAATCACTCCCACCCGCGGCGTTCGTCAGGGAGATCCCTTGTCACCTTATCTTTTTGTTTTATGTATGGAGCGCCTGTCTCATAAGATTGATGAAGCCTGTCTTAGTAAGAAATGGAAACCCATTCATCTTACTAAGGAAGGCCTGCCTCTAACTCATCTCTTTTTCGCAGATGATCTGCTTCTTTTTGCTGAAGCAGAATCGCGCCAGATTAAGGTGGTCAAGGAGTGCCTCGATGACTTCTGTTATAGCTCGGGGCAGCGAGTCAATTACAACAAGTCGATTATGTATATCTCCTCCAATGTGGACCAAGCCAAGGCGTCTCTTCTGAGTAGGAAAGCAGGAATCCCTCTTAAGCAGGAGCTTGGAAAATACTTGGGAATTGATACCATCCATGGTCGAGTCACTAAAGGGCGGTATCAGGGATTAATCTTGAGAATTCAGAAGAAGTTGGCCCCCTGGAAGGCCCGTCGTCTATCCCTGGCAGCCAGGCTCACAATTGCTCGTTCGGTAACCTCATCACTTCCCACCTATACTATGAGCACTGAACTTATTCCCAGTGGTGTGTGCAAAAATATATACAAGATAAACAGGGACTTTATCTGGGGAGAGGAGGAGGAAAAATACAAAATGCACCTTGTAGCATGGGATAAAATGGTTCTCCCTAAGAAGCAAGGAGGAGCCGGCCTCAGATCTCTTAGGCAAGCAAATCTAGCTATGCTGGCAAAAGGTGGATGGAGAATTCTTAAGGAGAAGGACAGCCTGTGGACCAAGGTGATGAGGGAGAAATACGGCCGAGGCCAAGAAGATTTAAACATCATCCGACCTATTCAGGGAAGTTCCTTCACTTGGAACAGCTTTTCTAGAGCTGCTAATCTTCTTCGAAAAGGTTGTGCTTGGAATATAAAGAATGGTAAACACACTAAGTTTTGGCTGGATGTGTGGATTTTGCAGGTACCCTTGATAGACGTAGCTGTGAGCACGATCCCAAGTGACATAGAAGGTGCTGTGGTTGCGGATTTCGTGACGCAAGAAGGAACATGGCGGACCGAACTCTTCTCAGACCTTCTTCCCCAGGATGTTCTGCAGAAAATTCTCAGCACGGCGGTGGACAACCTGTCGACGGAGGGTGACACGATGTTTTGGAGTGCTTCCTCGGATGGAAAGTTTTCAGCAAAGTCGGCCTATAGCCTTCTTAATCAACATACTGCAGATCCAGATGAGAAGCATTGGAAGACAATTTGGCAGCTACCTGTCCCTGAGCGTGTCAGGAACTTCATGTGGGTGACTCTCCTTGGGAAAATAGTAACTAATCTACTTCGTTTTTCCAGGAAATTGGCGCCTAACTCGGATTGTGTGCGATGCCAAGGGCAGCCCGAAAGCATTCTCCATATTCTTAGGGACTGCCCCCCAGCTCTCTTCTTTTGGACAAGGCATGTGCCGGGCCCGAAGCAGCACACCTTCTTCAGTGCTGACCAACATAGTTGGCTTCGAGCTAACCTCGCCAACACCGATATTGGCAGCCTAGGGATGTCGTGGGCTACTTTTTTCAGTGTTGCAGTGTGGTGCTTGTGGAAGAATAGATGCACCTTCGTTTTCAAGGGTGCTTCAGCGGCTCTGTCTCCTCCGACTCTCGCTCATTCTATTGTGGCCAAAGCCAAGCTATGGCATCAGGCATGGGAAGCTCCAACTCTTCTCCCCAACAACAGAGTCCAACCGGCTACGCGGGTCTTGGCTAGCATTGGCTGGAATGCTCCGCCTGCAGGTTGGTTCTCTCTCAACATTGATGGAGCTTCTTGTGGTAACCCAGGACCAGCAGGAACTGGAGGATGCATTCGAGATAGTTCAGGGAAGTGGATCACTGGCTTTGTTGGAAACATTGGATCGGCCACAGCAGCGTTAGCCGAGCTTTGGGCTTTCTTTCATGGTCTGGAGATAGCTTGGACTAGAGGTTGCCGAGTTTTAAGAATAGAATCTGACTCCAAACTAGCTATTGAGCTCATTCAGAATCGACATGATCAGGTGCACCCGTACTCTACTCTCATCTCTGCCATTCGCAGGAAACTAAGCCAAAACTGGTTGGTGAGCATCACTCATACATACCGGGAAGGGAATAGAGTCGCGGACTGGCTCTCGAAGCACAGTCTCGTCTATCCCTACGGTATGCATGAGCTTGCGAACCCACCTCAAGGCTTAGGAAACATTCTCTTGGAAGACAGCATGGGCATTACTTTTGAGCGTCGCATTGTTGCTACCTCTTCTACCTCTTCCCCTTCATCCACCCCCATGTAACACCTTTCTTCTGCTTGGCTGCGGCCTCCTTGTAACGCAAAAAAAAAATTGTACATTACAAGTTTCCAAAGGATCAAAACTGGTTTCGTTCTTTTGTACAACCACATTAATAAAATTAAACAAGCATAATTAATCTCTTCATCAAAATAAATTCTAAATATCAATTATCAACAACAAAAAGGCTCTCATTGATCATGCTCATACATTTATTACTGTTAATCCATCCAAATAATTTACAGTGGAGTGGTCTAACCACGAAATTAGTGAGATATGGAGTGCAATTTAATTAGAATTAGCTATTAGATAAAGCAATATGTTCTGTTTTTTTTTTTTTTGTTCAAACCCTAGCGTGGCTACCAAGCTTGCGTTCGAACAAGCACCTCAAAAGGTAGACTTGGAGGAAGCTCGCCCCTATCAGAGCAGCTGACTCGATCATCACTTTGTTCATCGCTTTTTTGCTCATGTCATCATTCACTGCCAAGAATCCATGGTTTAGAAATTTACTAGTTACTCTTATGTTTGAATTGAAATGAATTCAATAAACATGATATTTTAAAGAGAAATATTCCTTTCTGGCGACCTTGGTTAACAGTTAGCCCCGAGACTATCCGACTCTCATGAATATTCAATAAATTTGTGCGACAATTAATGAATATAATTCATACTTATAATGTGAGTGGTCATCCACGAATTTTTGTTTTGTTAGAATGGTGCATAGGTTGGAGAAACTCGAATCTCGGAGGACACGATACCAAACCTGAGTCGTTGCCCACTTGAACCAGCCCTTGGTGATTAAATTAATAAGCATGACATCTTAAGAGAAAGTGTCCAATATTGTTGGGTTCTATATATCTGAGAATTCTTACCCAATGCCTGGCGTTCAGTCTGAGACTCCAGCCAATGTTGCTCGAACTGGATGTTGTACAAGGCCTCCTCCAATTTCGTTATCTGCTCCATTAGTGGCCCAAAATGCTCTATTGCAGGGAAGGAGGAATATTCCATCAAACAAAGGTCACAAAATAAAGATTTACAATTTCTGTGGTTTAAAATTTCATACCGCTAAATACTGCTCTCTAAAACCCAAGAATCCCAATTTCAAACCCAAAAGGAAAGAAAGAAACGAGAGGGAAATGGTGATACACGAACCATTTTTAGCAGGCTGGTCGTAGTAAGTGAAGTGGGCAATATGAACATCAAAATCAATGGTCTCATGGAAGGGAGATTTGTTAAAGAAACAGAAGCGGTAAACCCCTTTCTCATGGACTTGGAACTCGAACTTGGCCTCTGTTCTCCCCAACATTTCATGGAAAAGATCCCCTTGTGGCCCTTTAATCTGCCAAAAGGAAAAGAAAAAAAAAATCCATATAATGCAGCATGTAATGTGAAGTTTAACAATAATATATTTTGTAGCTGTACGTTACAGGAAGAATTCATGTACTGTCTAGGATTTTATGTGTGTAGGTTGTAGGAATTGCATATATGATAGGTTATCAAAGCGTTTGACATTTTGTCAAAGATTGTTCGAATATATCATACAATGTACTTTAACATTACTGGTGGTCTTCGAATAACATGATCTCGAAAGAAATAAAACAATCCGAAAAATACAACAATTGTAGGCTCTCTAACTCAGTTTTGGCTTTCATATAACTGGATCAATGTTATTAATCATCTATGTGATTTTTTCGCAAGTTTTCTTATTTGTATACTTGGACGATCGGTGGAATGAAGCTCGTATTCTAGTAAAAAAAAAATCTCCAGGCATGAAGAACAATTTTGTTAACATACGATGAAATCGACACCTTCCCTGCCGGAATTCCATGGGGAATTGGTCTTGATGACGACGAAGGAGAGATGGACAGTGTCCGCCTCGTACTCAGCGTTGTGGGAGAAGCATTCTTCTCTGTCAATCACGAACCTTATGGCGTTTGTCTCTACCGGCGATATCAAAAGTATCGTCCCCAAAATTGAAATCGACTCCCACCACCTGCGCATTTTGCAGATATCACATAACAATAATAATCATTAGAGGAAAGAAATAAGTGCATTAATTTAGTAAATTCTTACCTTCAAAATGTACAAACAAGTAAGAAGGAAGAGATATTTTGTCTTCCGATTATCAGGCCGGCGAAAATGATTTTTCTAGCCCTTGGTTCTGTTATGGCGTTTCCGCAAGATGCGTCATGTTTGGTTGGTGGCACAAGAAAGAACCAACCACTTGTTTCCATTTGTATTTAACTAGCTTTTACCCGACCCGTTGGTCGAATGATTTCATCTTATTTTTCATTACTTCATAATAATCGAAAGTGATCTTTGCACTACTTGATAATTGTGACATTGATAACAATTAGTTCATATGTATTTTTGTTAATCAGATTATCCTAACTCACTACGGCCTATACATGTTTCGTATTAAAAGAATTCGCCCTATTTATTGTATCATAAATTCCTTTAAATTATTTCTTTATATTGGTATTATTAACTTGGTTTACTATTAGATACAAACAAAACTAAAACAATTATGCATTAAATTAAAATAGTAATTAGAATTTCTTCAAGGGATTAACTTATTGCTACAAAAGCATAAAATTGATCATCTTAAGATTTCCAATCGTGCTCCATCAGACACAAATCAAAAACCTTTCACGAACATAATAGGAGGGAAGCATATAGCTAAAATAAAGAAGCGAAATGGCAGACCGATAGAAACAAATATCAAAAGCTGGCTGGTTGATGGCTGAGAATTACCTTGACAGAGAGAAGCTGCTAGTGGAGTTTTCGCTGAAACGCTTTCGTGGGTCTGTGTGATTTAAACTGCCTTTTATACGCATAACGCAGAAGGTGATTTTGTTTGCTGGCGTGAATCGAGCTTGGGTTTGTAGCTGAAATTACCTCGACAGAGAGAAGTTGATAGTGGCATTTCTAGAGGAAGCACTTTAACACCCCAATTTCTTCGTTAGAACATTACAGCCGCCGACGTCGAATCTCAGACATGGAGAGCAGGAGGATATGGGTAGATCTAGCTACCTCCAACACAATCCCTATTTGACACTGAATTTGCCCACTGACATCCACTTGGACGTCGTCCAACCACTGACATGCAAAACAACCGTTTGATCCTGGCTTCCCAATGAAAAGAGAGGACGGAGAACGACGATAGAGATGAAGGGAGCGGAGGAAGGGCCCTCTACGAAACATTTAGGCCAACAGTGGTAGACGACTAATGTATCAATCCCTAGCCTTTCTGACAATCATTGTTATCCTTATCACCCAACATTTTACTAAACCCATTACCTATTGCAAATTTTAGGTAGAGTTCCTACTAAAGTACACAAATCCCCCTACAACAATTTAATCAGAACCACTGGTTAGACATTCACTCATGGCAAATTTGAGAAACTGGTGCAAAACTCTACCATCCTAAATTTGAAAATAGTCAAGTGTAAAAATAATTTAAGTCCATCCAACTATACCTGAAATAATAAGGGATCCCCACAGTACATCATCATATACAACTAACATTGCTATGTAAGTTAAGCATTCTAGGCAGGGGCGGATACATGGGCCTCTAGGGGTGTCCCGGGACACCCCTAAAATTTGGGGAAACGATTATCCAACCTCCGGTAGTAATTTCGTATGTGTATACAAAATATAATTGGTAATCCGGGACACCCTAACATTTGAAAAAATGATTATCCTACCCTCGATAATAGTTTGCTTATGATTAATAAAATATAAGTGGTAGTCCGTGTTATTCCAACCTAGGACACTACTATTATCAAACATATTCCAATTATGTTGCTACTCATCTGTTATTCTATTTTAAATATCATGCAACTGTAAAACGCTATTTCTTTATCCCCAACTATTTTCAATACCTAATAATTAAACTACGTACACGCTACCCTTAATTTTGAATTGATTTTATGGTTACATGGCAAGTGTTGAAAGAGTCTTTTCTACTTTGAGCTACATTAAGAACAATGTTAGAAATCGAATATGTGATAAGTTCGTGAAGTATTGTCTAGTAGGATATGTAGATTTTATGAACAGTGCAGACACGGAGTTTATTTATATTATTTTTTCAAAATATGAATTTTAATTTATTATTTAATAAAAATTTTATAAAAATTATAAAAGTATGATATTTTTAATATACGAATTATTTAATTTATTATATAATGAAATTTAATTTTTGAAGAGGACACCCCTGTGAAAATTTTCTGAATCCGCCACTGATTCTAGGAGCTAGGAAATATGTAGCGTAATGTAGTAGTGTTGCAACTTGATTAGAAGATAGAGCCATAGATAAAAGAGGGGAAGAGATAGTGTATATATATAGTTATTGTTAGAAGGCATGATGATTTGCATGATGCTCCATGCATAAAAAGAAATGGAGTCACAAACTTGGTGAAGTATTCATACAAAGTGACTTAGCAAAATAAAACGTGAAGGTATAGAGAAACACACAATCCACTCAGCTATAATGCGTATAAAGTCATCGATAAACCTAATTGAACATTCATGAGAATAAACATTCAAAAACTCGATCATCTGTGCATCACTTTCTGAATTCACATGGACCTTCCTCTTTAGTGACTCGACTAAAGGTGTTGCAATATAATATCATGGTTCGCTTGATCAATTTTGGTGCATTTGGCAGCGTCAAGGTCACCAACTTCATGTTCACTACTAATATTATGGGAGCTTTAGGCATTAACATTTTTAGTATCGAGCAAAGCTTATTGATACATCCACACAACCACCCTATCCATTAAAAAACACGAAATATATGTAGCTCATTAAGCCATGGAGATTCTGGAAACACATATACAATGCAGTGACAATACTAAACCACATAACTCAACTTTTGAACGCCACAAAGTTTGGCAAAACTACAAAGATGTAGAGATAATAATAACTTAACAACTTTACCAAAACTCATACCCCCAACACTGTCTAATTCTATTATAATAATAAAAGTACCTATATAGCTAATTGAGTACTACTTTTCCTTACCTAAACTTATGTAGGGAAGCTATGAGAAACTTCAAATCAAGAATAGACATAGCAAAATAAAACACCATGAAAGAATCTACAAAAGACATTCATCCTTTGCTGGTGGCCAGCTTTTAATTTCCCTAGAAATTTATTAGTTTCCAAGAACATAACAAACAAAAAAGGCCCGGAGGAGAAATCAGCTGTGGAACAGAATACTCTACATAATGATATGATAAGATGAATGCATCATATCTATGTTTGAGACATAACTTAGGCCTATCAACTCCGAGAACAGCAGGCTGAATTTCAAATGAGAACACAAAACTTTAAACTAAACATTGTAGATTCTAATTTTTCACTAATTGTCTTATGAATACTAATGCTAAACCCTTATCATTTCTAGCAAATCCTAAGTTTTTGTCATGAACAATAAAAATGAAGGTATCTCACAGAGAGTGGCCAACCCATGGTATCCCAAAACCGAAGCAGGAAACTTTGGGCATTCTCATTTAAAAAGAACACCAAAAGGAAACACATGTTTATTTTGTGAGACAACTTATCCTGCTGCCACTCACCAATACAAACTAAAAAAGCACATCTCATGAGAATATGTAAAGCATGGTAAGGCTTATCCCACCACTGCTAATGTCACAGTCTGCGCCAGTCATGACACCTTCCAAATTGAAAGCTGAAGAAAAGAGCAATGTACCAACTTGCACGCCACGATGGAGGGAGACAGTGCAAGTGGCACCAACAAATCCGATGAGGGCTAAAGCCGAAAGCTTGATTAGAAAACTCAAAAGCGAAAATAGGGGTGGTGGGATCCTGGGACGAAGAGGGGCAACCCGGTCTCCCGAAAACAGGGGCGGAGAGAATAGTAGGAGAACATCGAATGTGGGGTTTCCAAAGGGTAACATTAGTGCGACATGCCTGTAATTCAAACATGGAGAATAGAATACAAAGAACAAAACAAAAAATGAAACACAACAAAAAAGGAACAATAAGAAACTGAACATAAAAGAATAGAAAAATGAACCACGATGGAATCAACAACAAATAAAGCCCGCAAAAGAAAAAGGTTAGATAAAATCGACTGAAGGTGAGCGAATGACATGCCCACAGTTCATAGCACCGGATCTGAACATCCCGACAACATATGAAGTTGTGACTGGTTAGCGAGCCTCCTTTGTCCTTTGTTCCTCTCCAACCAGAATTGCGAACTATTCGACGTCAAAATCGAGCGCGTGGCCCTCTAGCTGGTTCCCCTTTTGCTGTTGCTCGGTTGCCATTCACTCAGTCTTGGAGAATAGCGTCGTCGACTATATCCATCAACAGGGAGCAATCTAGAACGGGAACTGGAGAATCCGAGTAGAGAAGGCCCCAATAGGCGAGGTCACACAAAAGAGATTTTGAATTTGCTCACCGACGAACCAAAATTGGAATCCCCACCTCTGGCCGTCGCAACTCAGAAACCTAGATCTTCCCCTTTCGTCGCCTGATACCCGAGTTTCCTTTGCCGACGAAAAAAACAAAGGAACTGATGCGAAGGGGAAGAGGAAGGAGCTTTGCCTCTGGATTTTGTTGTTTTGCAAATAAATACAAATTAAATGAGAACGTGGGCCTGGAAGGAGAAAAAGGTGGGTAGTGGACAGTTTTTTGGTTCTGAAATCAGGCGGGACTCCTTTTTTTTCCGCTTAACACTCTGCCACATCAGCTTCCTAAAATCACTCTATGGGCAGGAAATTTTGAATGGGGGGCGCAGTTTTACTTTTCAACTATAAATTATACTATTGATTTCCTCGCATGTCTCTCTCTACGGAAATTCTTCTATGCCGACACTGCATCCATGCCGTTCACAATCCGCCGAATATTGCCGGTTGTCCTTCCTTTTTAGTTTTCTTTTTTAATTGTTGGATATTGCTCTATGAAAAGAATCCAATCCAAAACAAGTCCTTGCCACTGGAAAAAATGGAAATGGTTATTTGTATAAAGGT